ACTACGTACTACACTACACACACACACACACACACACACACACACACACACACTACACACTACACACTACACACACACACACACACACACACTACACACACACACACACACACACACACACACACACACACACACACACACACACACACACACACACACACACACACACACACACACACACAGCATTATTGTATTGTATGAGAGAGGTTCCAGGTTGAATTGAGGCGAATATTTGTAATGTTCAGAGGTTGTTGTGTTTAATATTCATGAGAATAATTGTCATTGTTCAAATGATAATAAACATTTGCATAAAGCATATTTGTCCACTCATATGTTGATAAGAGTATTAAAAACTTGAAAAATATTCCTCTAAGGTACATTTAGAACAGATAAAAAATGTGCGATTAATTTGCGATTGATCGCGATTAACTATGGACAATCATGCGATTAATCGCGATTAACTATGGACAATCATGCGATTAATCGCGATTAACTATGGACAATCATGGGATTAATCGCGATTAAATCTTTTAATCGACTGACAGCCCTAATAATCTTCTGCGGCTCTGGAGGAGCTTTGTCAAGTGTGAAATAACTTCAAATGAAATCTAAACTTGGGTTTGAAAGGCAAACTTTTATGACAGATAGTCGTTAGCAAAACTGGGAGTATGAGGTTTCAAACATACGAGTGTAAAATCCAGGGTTTCTGTGAGTTCATCAAATGATGGTTAACTTGAAGTGAGGATATCGTAATAACCCCAACCCTTTTCTTTTGTCTCTTACTGTACATAGGATTGCCATAAATCACACTTGAATATACCACAAACACAACTAGTCCTATTTTTGTTATAAAAAAAAGAAAGAAGAGAAACCGGATGATGTTGGGATGTGGATCAACAAGCCGTTGTTAAGACACTTGCATGAAACAAAGACCACCATATTTGCTTAATTATTGAACACAATGCTGTTGTGAAAATATCTGTGTAGATGAAGATGACGAATAAAAAGAGCCTCTGTCTTTAGTCTCTTGACTTTAGTCGTCAGCTTGTTAAACTCTTGTCTGTACTGTATCTCTTCTGGTGCATTGATTCACTTAAGCTGAGAAGACAAAATGAGTGATTCATGTCACCAACAGTATCAAGGCATTGCAGCCGGATCTGCTTTCTATACTAAACATTCTAGAAAGTCAGAAAAGCCAGTCAAGAAGGGCCAACTTGCATCAAGAAGGCAGGATGCACCGCAAAAACGCAAAAGGTTCTCACTGACAGCAAAAATCAGCTGACAGTCGGATTGGTGTGGTTTAATGAAACACATACAAGAAATGGACTTTCAATTAAATGCAAAAAACAAGCAACAATGAATATATGTTACTTGGGCATGACATGTGTTGACAAAAATTGAAATATACAATTATGCACAGCTGACCCATAGGAGGTAGTTTAAGTTATAGACCACTGTTGAGCCGGATATAGACCATCACTTGTGGATATGGTTTCCTCCTTCTAGTAATATATTCATCCTGCACCAGCCTTTTATTTTGCAAAATGCTGGGACAGGTTGCAAATGTGAATACTTTTTGGTCACACCTAGATGTCAATAGGTATCCGTGTATTTGTCCAAATTCATGTGGTTCAGTATTTTGTCCCTGGAAACAGAAAGAACAAGATGCTGCACTGTTTACAGTGGCATCGCCAAAAGGAATCTATTACATGGTGTTGGGCCAGCTATAATGTTTCCTCACAGCCACGATTCACTCAGTTAATGTTGCATCCTTGCGAAGAGCACAAGCTGATGTCCTTCAGGAATGTTCCACTGGACTGTGTGTACTTCCTCGACACTGAAGCCTCAGTGCTTATGGACATGCTAATGGTTCAGTCCAGTTCTACAGCTGTGTTCTAAGCACTGACAGCATGTGCAGTCTGCTGGTAAAATGGAGAGACAGTCAAGAGACTTGAAACTTGTGCAGTGCAGCACAGCCTCTCAAGGTGTTAAGGTGTACAAAGCGCCCAGTCAGCCCTTCTTCAGTAATGTCAGCTAAACCTGCAGATAAATGGGCTGTGAACCGAGTAAACAGCGGTCACATGTACGGACCAGTTTTCAATTACCTTGCGGTTAACCCCGCCAAGAGGTCTCGTCGCTGCACAGAGGCTCATCCCTCTGTTTCACTCTGCTTTCTCACTTTGCCCCGAGCCCCTCACAATACCACTGTTACCCCCGCCTTCTCAGCACATCTCATCATGATGAACACTTCAGTTGTTTCATCAAACTTCATTCACATAACCAGTTGGATATTTCCAAAAAGGATTTATTTACACACCTCTTGATCTGCTATCTACACACCTAACAATTATAAGCCTATGGAGTGGTTCAGCGATGACGTGTTTTTGTAAGCTGACCTGAAAGTGAATGTTACAAAAAGTCAATAGGATTTTTTCATTGGAGTTTGGATTATAGCAGCATAAAATCTCTGTGGCAAACAAACCTTCATTATACTTGCAGCAGGATCACTTCCACATATTAGCACCACTTTTATAACGGTTGAAGTGTAAATTCAATAGACTTGAGCAAATAGCACATTTTAGGCTATACAAACTGCATCACAGTCACATGACTTCACATCACCACCGCTAAAGTTGAACTTGTGTTAGCTGTGATGATATTAAGTAGTCTCATTTAGTCACTCTCAAGCAACCACCTTGGCTCTTCTCAGCTTGTGTTATGCACAGACTGTACGCAGGCTTCTAACCAAAAAAACATTCAATAACATCTTTAAACATGGCCACTGCAGTGTTCCGTCTTCAACCTCTTTCCTTCTCTTGTTCCCTTTTTCTTGTCTTCTTTTCTTTACTGGGGACAGTTAAGCCGCCATGAATCCAAAGCTTCATGAAAATTGATATTCAAAAAGGATTCCATGGTGTTTTCCGATGGAAAAAACTAATATTGACGTTAAATTGAACAGACTTCTTTCTGCGGAAAGACACAATGGCACAGAGTCCCTTGATCCTCCTTAGCAGCTGTGTGTTACCGAAGAAATCCAAATCCAAATTGACCAATCAGAAATGAGTATTCCACTAAGCCTGTGTAATAATTTACTGATGATGATGATGGTGGTAGAGATGATGATGATGATGATGATGATGATGATGATGATGATGATGATGATGATGATGATGATTGGACTGACACTGTCAATTCCTGCCTCATCTTTACTTTTGTCTTGTCAATGCTTTGTGAGTGGTGAAGCAAATCTACTTCTCATAGATCTGATTCAAAGAGTGTTCACATTGATGTGTTGTAGCATACACACAATTGAACACACAATGCACACATTCCCTGAAGTTTGGAGTTACACATCTAAAAGTATTTTATGAACTGGGTGGAGACTGAGTTATACCAATCAGTGCCACGAACAGACACAATACACCATTATAAAGTCAGAATGCCTGGATGAGCGAGCGGTGGCCTGTGGGTTCTTAAAATATCTCTTTAGATCTTCTCAGTTTATTAATTTCTCTTCACGGACTGACAGCAGCTGATCAGAGCGGGATATGGGACACAACAGCTC